ACAGTCTTGATGAGAGCGCCATTGACGGTGGTGTTGAACTTGGCCCAGACGCTATCGGCAGGCCAGCACTTGTCGCTGGGAAGACAACGACAGCTAGCGCTTGTGGCGCTGGAGCTATCGATGAGAAGTGCTAGAGGCAGAAGCGCCAAGGAGAGGAAGGACTTCATTTTGAGGGTAGTTTGGAGCGGAATGAGTGACAAAGTGGCGTGGTTAGGCGGGACAGAATGAGTATTTATTCACGAGAATTTAGCACATACAAGCCCCCTTTCTGCAATCTAATCTGTCTATGGACAGCCCACGAAGCGCATGCCTTGGATCCTTCAGCTCTCACCGCGCACTAGCAAGCTTTGTTGATTGTTGGTTCATCTTTGACTCTGCAATGCCATGCTGCCCTCCCGCGCGAATAACCCTTCTTGGCAGGTCCCTCATGGGGGATGTGCGTTAAGATGCCAGGGGGGCCTATATGGGGTTCTGATAGCCGAGTTACCCGAGGTAGAGAAGGGTTCCAAGCGCCGGAGATTAAATATAAAAGAAGAAATAGCCCATGTTGATCCCGGTTGTTCCAGCCGGAATCCAACCGTCTTGGCAATCGACGAACCCAGTCAAAGCCACGTGTGGATGATCTTTGGAAAGAAATCGGTTGAGATGGCATTGCGGACCAGAGAGGGGATTTTGCTGATGGGTATTTGCTTCTGAGTCAAGAAGTCTAAAGTCAAAGCAAAAACTCATCCACACTCGCCACTTTTGACAGAATCTTCAACGGGGTCCCGCAGTTACAGGGCTAGACCACACTGCAGACATTCTCACGCAGGGAGGGTTTCAGCAAGGAGGTCGCCAATAAATGAATGCATGATACTGGCAGCACCTCGACGGTATATGTTCCCCTTCTCAGTGTCACCCCGAGCCATCATCTGGTCAGTCCAACTCGCCACAGCCCTCTCACCAATCTTTGCTTGGATAAAGGTCCGATGCCATTATAGTTAGCGTCTTTAGCTTCAGGGGTCTCTCCGTCTCAAACCCCACTACACCACGGACCCCCTTTGTAGGAGAGGCGAGAGGGGATGAGAAAGAGGAAAAGCGCCCCCTTTCGCTCGCAAAACGGTGAATAAACGTTGAGTTATTTCTAGAATGGCTGCGAGTCACTTTCCTAAATGGAGAGCGTGAGTATGCTTGGCAGACGGTGGCGCAATAGGCGAAGCTATACCACGGTTTGATCTCGGATATACATCACCAAGAGGGTCTAGTGGATATCGCCGGGGCGCAAACGCTAGAAAGGCTAGAAAGGCAAGGAGAGTGGTTCTTGAAGAGGAGACTCGTGATGGATGATCTACGAGCCCCAGTTCGGAGGATTCGGGAATCGAAAATGTTTAATCTATATCGAGACGTGATCTTCGCTGTTCTTTTTGCTTTGACCATCAAAGCTCAGAGATCGTCGTAGAAAACCAGCTTCATGGTTATGTAGCGTTCAGACAAAGTGAAAAAGATCATCGGCCCAAGTGCCGGTTTTAGAGTTCTGACCACCGATTGACGGTTTCACGTTTCACCCACCACTACAGATGTAGTGACACCTCCCTCTTTCAATTCCGCGGCCACCGTAAACGAACCTGTCAATATCAGACACCAAGTAATGGACCTTTTGTCCCCAATGATAACGCCCGTATCCACTGCAAGCCATCAATCAAACTTATTAAGTTCATCCTGATCCGGTCTCTTGGGACCTCTTCCGCCTTGGCTCACCTCGTTTCGATCGTATTCAGCCTGTTCTTAACTTGTCTTTTCCCCATTATCATGTTTGTCTTGACTCGAAACACTGGATCAGAGCAGTCTGTGCGGGTCTGACCGCGCGGAACTAAAGCACGAATCTGAACCACAGCTCGGGCAGTGACATAAAACTGGGCTGAAGTTCCCTTGCAGACGATCTTGTCTAGCCCTGCAACTACATATCAGTCCACCCTCTCCCACCCAGTCCCCAGATCCATTTGTTTTTCCATCATCTTGCTTTTTACGATGCGGCTGCTGCGTGGGGCTGTCTTCGCTTGCCTTGCGGCTCTGCCGTTGGCTTTTGCCCAACAAGAGTCTTCTTCTGCTGCTTCTGCTTTGTCTGCGTTACCGGAATGTGCTGTAAGTTTTTTTCTCTCATGACTTTCACATGCGAGTTGTGGCTGATGGGGACCTAGGCAAATTGTTTCGTGTCGGCCGTTGAGCGATCGACATGTGAACTTACAGACCAGAAGTGCATGTGCACTAACACCGCACTACAACAAGACATTGAAGGCTGCGTCATGCGCGCATGTACAATTCCACAGTCTCTTGGTATGTCAACCTTGGTCTCTTCTTGTACAACAACTCACATCTGCAGTCACAAAAAATGCTACTCTCACGGCATGTGGCGCTCCAGTCAGAGACCACTCACCCCAATTCGTAGTCCTCAATGAAGTCATGGCCATAATAACAGGAATCTTCATCATTCAACGCTTTGGCACAAAGCTCTACTGGAAGCTGCCCCTCGGCCTTGACGATCTCTTCATCGCACTGACGATGTGTGTCGCCATTCCTTCCATCGTCATCAACTCTCGTGGTCTCGCCCCCAACGGCATGGGTCGCGACATCTGGACTGTTAGACCTGATCAGATCACCCAGTTTGGAATGTTCTTCTACACCATGGCCATCATGTACTTCTCACTACAAACGTTTCTGAAGCTGTCCATGCTGTTCTTCTACCTAAGAATCTTTCCGACGCAGAATGTCAGGAGGTTGCTTTGGGGAACTGTTGCCTTCACGGTTGTCTTTGGGCTGGTGTTTGTCTTTGTGGCGATCTTCCAGTGCCGGCCTATCAACTACTTCTGGCTGAAGTGGGATGGACAGCATGAAGGCAAATGTGCCGATATCAACGCGGTTACTTGGTCCAATGCTGCTATCAACATCGCCCTTGACTTCTGGATCCTTGGTATTCCCTTGTCTCAGCTGAAGTCACTCAACTTGGATTGGCGAAAGAAGATTGGTGTTGGCATGATGTTCAGCGTCGGTATCTTGTAAGTTTACCCCCTGCCATCTTACCATTTTGTCTTACTAACATTTATAAGTGTCACAATCATGAGTATTCTTCGTCTTCACGCCACAGTCCAAGCCGGCGTCAAAACCACCAACGCAACATGGGAATACCTCGCTGTATCAAAATGGTCCACCATCGAAGGCAACGTCGGTATCATCTGCGCATGCATGCCGTCCCTTCGAATCCTGCTCGTCCGCCTGTTCCCCAAGATTCTTGGTACTTCCCAACGCTACTACAACTATGGCAGCAAGAGCAACAAGCCAACGCCAGGCAACACTCACAACCGCAGTGTTCCGCTTGGAACCAATGCCACTTCTCAAGCAGATCGATCACAAAGGCGGGTCGACCCTGTAGGTATTGAATGTCATAGGACATATGAGGTGGAATATGGAGACAATGATGAAACATATTTGGTTCATATGAAGGATATGGATCATAAGAGTGCGAGATCAGAGATCAGGTCGGAAACCTCTCTTTAACGTCATATATAAATAATTTCTATGTTAATGAATAAGAAAATCATAAATTTCAACTTCCCCATGTCGTCCTAGATATCTCAGTGAGATGAATGAACTACGCTCTGTCTGCTGATTGAAGTTCTCAGCCATAAGTCTCAACTGCAAATAACACTTTTGGGTAACAACTTAACTTTATACCATGATGAGCGACCAATTGGCTGAACATTGATTAACCTTTTTCTTCCCTCGGTTGTTCTCTTGGATTTTCATAGCAATTTCAGTTCCTTTGCAATTTGTAAGATAAGCATGTCTTGAAAACATTCTGACAAATCATTGAGTTGAGGCGACGGGACCTGGGTGGGCTCAAGAGCATACATTGACGAGGGTTCTGAGGAGTCTTGTTATAGCTATCGTTGATTTTGGTTCACTCAATTCGGTTCAAATCCTCATCACCCTTGATTTCATCACCATCAGTGTGAACTTTTATGATCGTCTGACGATTTCTGAAATGTCGCTGATGTTGCTGTCCAGTTGTTGAAGTTCGCCGTCTCTTATTTTGAGGCTCTAAATCCATGACAGCCGGAAAAAGTCAAAGTCATACCCCGGAGACAACCTTCAACCACATTCGCTACCAAACTCCCGGGGCTACAAGGATCCCTCATTAAACTTTCGAATATCTTCACTCAAGTTGAGAGCTCAACTGGGCCTACCCTACAGCCCCACCCGGCTTAACCCCGGCTGTATCCGCACAATAAAAAACCCTTCCTCGCCTCCAAAATCTTTCCTTCCTCAAGCCATTCGCCCTCCCCAACGCTGCGTTTCCATGCTACAAACAGAGAGACACGCTTCGCGCTGTCTCTCAATAACTCTTCGCATGTGGGAAATTCGGAGTAAGCCTCACCCATCACCGACATCTGGCATCTGCTGGAACCGTTGGTCTGCCGGTAACGGCCTGGCGTCAATGTCACGTCTGCAAAAGATATCAGAAATACTCAGAGCGCGTGCTTTCGTCACGCTGTCTCTATGGGAACGTCTTTGCGAGGCTCGTTTTGGGAAAAACTGAAGTGCGATACGCGGCGTCCTGTCCCCTTCGTGGGCTGGATGACTCAATTCCGATCACTCTGGGGAGGGCGATGGCTTCACTTTTTTTTCCAGGTCAGTGTTGATGATACCACCGAACAGATCACTACTAATGAGTGGGGAGGAGGTAGGAACGGGAGATGGTTGTTGGTCAGGNNCTTTGTAGGAATGGAGTATTGTCATTTCGGTCGTTAATACGAGAATATTCTGCTATCATCACTTTTATCCTTGTCGCACCCAAATCCTGAATCACGCCGTCCATTACGAGGACTTTGCTCGCATCCAAAAGAACCCTAACGCCGTAGCCAAACGCCACCGTCGCGCCATAGTCACACCATCCTTCAAGAATCGTTCGAATCCAAACCCCGCACGATCGCATAGCTTGTGCCGGCTGCCAACATGCCAATAATCAATGTCTGCACCGCTCCCCAGACACCCGCACGATGATTGCGAATAGCGACGTAGTTCTTGACGTATCCAAATACCAACAACACAGCGACCGTGATACCAATCGAGACAAATAAAGCTTCGCGCACGCGTGACATGACGAAGTAGGGGATCATGGGGATCAGCCCGCCGATGAAGTAGCTCAATCCCATGGTGACCGCTGAGATCCACGCACGATGAACGTTGGGCTCCTCGAGCTTGAGTTCGAAATCCATCATGAAGCGCACCCATTCTGTGGGGTTCTTGCAGAGCTC